AGCTCTGTGGGACTTTAGCTTTCTGGTTTCCAGCGTTGTCATGAAGGCAACCGGGACTCATCGGCTCTACGTCACGCAGCCGGAGGCCTACCTTCAAGACCACCCGCTGGGCTACCAAGCGTTTGAGTCTGGTTGGTCTTGGCAAAAGCTGCGGGAGTTGACTCGGGTCTATCCCGACTCCCAAAGCAGCAGCGGGAGTGTCCCAGAGGCCGATGCTATGGAGGACTGTTGGGCGTGGAACGACCGCCTTGATGAAGTGCCAAGTGCGAACACCTCGGCATTGAGTCTTCGCCAGGGCCACCAGCAGCGATTATCCAGACTCTCGTCCACCTCGCTGTCGCAGCAATTCTACACTGGCGTTCAGTCGCCCATCCTCTCCAACAGTCCAGGCGTTGGCCGGGCACAGTCACCGTTCACCCAGAGGGAGCGCCGGGGGTCTCGGCCGCCGCATATACGCACCAATTCGCTGCCTCCAGTAGCCCCTTTCTTGATATCCCCTTCACAATCTCGTCGTCGTGTATCGTCCAACACCACCAGCGGCACCGGCTACGAGCGCCGATCCTCCCCACTCATCATTTCTCGGCCCAGTCAGCGGCTTTCGGCCCAGCATGCCCCGGCAGGCCCCGCCATATCTGCGTCCGCCGCTCTCATCTCCAAGCGCCGCCTGAATACCCGCTCTCCCAGCCTCATACCGCGTAACACACCGCGGTGGAGCCGCACTAGCATGAGCCGCTCGCCTTCTCTCGCCCCGGCAGGAGGTCTGCTAGGCTTCCACGACGAACGCGATCGGGAGAGGCGTACTACTCCTTTCTACTACGCGACGCCGCACAGCGACGCACTCCCTGAGCCACCAGGCTACCAGCGCGCAGGGAGCCGCGCCCCCGCCGCTATGAACCCTAACAACGGGTATGACCCTAACGATGACGAGGAGATGGAAGACGACTTTGGAGATGATCAAGGTTCTTCGACCGACCCGTATGACAGCGAGATGACCAACGACGCCGACGACCGGCCAAAGAAACGGCTTGCGCACACCGGTTCATTCGGTCTCGGTGTTGGCACCGACGATGGCGATTTTGACATTGACGTCTACGAGGATGAAGTCGAAGATGAGCTAGACGACGTCGAGACCGACGCCGGTCACGACGCCGGGGCCCGCCACCGGCTCGACCAGCACCACCAAGGCGGCTCAGGGCATCCGCGACCTGAAGACATCCCGTGGGCAGGCATCGAAGACCAAATGTCGGACGGAGAGAACGTCGACCCATCATCGGACTCGCAGTCCCAAGACATTGAGATTCACGAGGACATGGATATTGCCGATCGAGACGACGTCGAGGGCGGTGCGGGCAGCGGGTTGGACAGTCAGCCGCCGAGTGAGTATTCAAGTAAGCAGAATGCGTGGCCCACGCCGTTAGAATCATCGGGTGTGGAAGGCCAGGCGGGTGTGAGGGTGGAGGAGCAGGGGTTGGGCGAGATGGGGTTTCGGATTCATGAGGATGGGGTAGGGGCGGTGGGGGCGGGGATGTAGTGAGCTTGGGTTTCAGGCTGTGGGGAGTACAATGTCTGGTGGATGTTTTTGGCATTGGACTTTCCGGCAATGGGTTGTATCTCTTTTGTTCATGAGCGCGAGCATATACACACAACACACAATCTCAAGGCATGGCAGGTATTGGGCGGCGGCTAGTTATACAGTGGGCAGGCAGGTATTGGGCGGCGGCTAGTTATACAGTAGGCAGGCAGGTAAACTAAGGCGGACACGAAGGAGTAGGATATCACGAGGGGTGGCATCTTAGGCAAGCAAAGGCAAGCGGGCGTTTTGGGAGTTTAGGGCGCAAGATATACCTTGGGGGACGGCCTCGGATGGGGGTGTCTTGGCCTGTCTGTTGCTATCTAGTTGTTTATTGCGTTGAGACATTGCTTTCAGCGCGATTGGAGCGATGATGATAGAGACGCGGTTCTCTCATCTCTGTTTGATGGGGAATGAAAGATATATTCCTCGTACTTGAAGTTCTGATGTTGAGGTGGTGTATTGTGCCAGTGGGAAGACTGCAAGGACTTATGGCTGGCCCTTGGATTTTCCCTATACATAACCCTAACCCTGCATAGAGTAGTGCACCCCTAGCAGGTGCCAATGTGAATTGGAGCAGGAGTCGCCGCTCAGGACCCTGGCGCCGCGGCCCTCTACAAAGCACACTGAGAAGACAATATCCTCATGACAACGTCGATCTACACCGCCTTGCTGCAGAAACTCCGGCCCCAGCCGAGCCAAGCCAGCGACAACCATGCGCGCGCCACTTGCTTGTCGCAAGCAGGGAGAACACCACTTCAGGAAGAAAGCATGGGCGACGATGAAAGAGAGTATGACGAAACTTGGCCTTACTCCCGAATGATGGAGTCTCGACGCGAAACCGCCAGGGACCGCCCTATCTTATTCATGGGTTACACGACGGCGACATCACCTCCCGGTTTGACTCCCTTCCCCCATCCGTCCCAGAAGATCCGATCCTCAAAAAGGCCAATAAACACCCCCGATCCGACGGTCTCCGTCCCCAGATTGGGCCATCCCCCAAGCGCAGCCCCGAATACCCGGAAACTAGTCCTCATCCTCCATCTCTTCGGGCAATCCCTCCTCCTGTCTAGCCCCCCCCCCGTATCCTCCAACACCCGCTTCATCCAGCCCATGATCGTGTCCAGCTGCGCGCTGGCCTGGCGCTGCATCAATTCCGTCTCAACCAGGGCAGCAGCGGCCGGTGCAGAGACTCGCTCCGCGAGATCCGACTTCAGGCTCTGGGGAAGCCCCTCGAGTCCCGCGGCCTGCATCGCCTCAATGTCCGAGAGCAAGCCGCGCAGCACGGTGACATGGTTGCCCCCCGCCGGCTGGTGGGCTGACGCGCTGGTCGTCGATGGGTGGGTGAGTTGGGTGTCGGCAACGTCGGTGCTGGGGCGGGGATTGGCCGACGTCTTCTTGGTGGGCGGAGCGATCCAGTCTGGGTCTCCCCGGATATAGTCGTCGATAAACTCCTGGATCTTCAACTTCCAATCCCTGTTCGCACCGGAGGAAGCCCACTCCGGATAGAAGACGGTGTGGTTGACAGAATAGACTACCTGGCCCGAGGGAAGGGAGAAGCTCATAGGCATCATCTGCACGCCGTAGAGGCCGTCCCGGGCAGGCTTGTCGGTGAGGATGAAGAGCTCGAGGCCGTGCTGGCCACTCTCCCTGATCAAGGCCACAACATGCCGAGTTTTGGGCAACGGATCCACGACCATGTAGGCGTGCCGGCCGTTGATCTCAAAGTGCTCCACGGCGGTGGCGTTGCGTGGGGCACCGGCCTGCTTGGGGGGACCCATTCGGAAACGGGTGGTCCTCAAGATACTCGCCCACGACAACGGCAAGGACGGGCTGGGGCGGGCCGGCTGTGTTGAGCTCATTGGCGCTCCAGGCCCTGCTCGTGTTGTAGGGCTTGGCCAAGGCGGTCGGAAAGTTCGCTTTGGCATCTCGGGAGCCTGTCCTTGCGTCCGGGCGGAGTCGGATGATGAGCTTCTTTCTGCGACTCTCGTGGCCGGTTCGATAGGCATAGTTGAGAAGACCTCGGGGAGTACTGTTGAAGGCGATGTCGGTCATGGTGCTGTCTAACCTGGGACTGTCATACGGAAGATTAGTACAGGGCCGGGACTCGGATTAAAGAGCTTTCGTCGCCCAAGGAGCTTTTGTCGCCCAAAGTGTTAAGGGCGTTGAGGGATGGTTTGGTATCGGCAGGGAAGGTGAAGAGGCTGAGTGATGAAGGGGGTGTTGATGGCCTGGGGGTTTAAGGGTTCAAGTTGTTGCTCACGTACCTGATGAAGATCCCTGTTTTCAGAAGTGCTCAAGATACTGCCTCTCAGTACCGAGGATGTCAACCTGGGCACAGATCGTTGCGTGTTGACACGGAGATGGGAGAGTTAAAAAGCAGCGACTGTGCGACTGTGAAAGGTATGTGCGGAAAGAGAATTCGCACGGTGGGCTAAGCTTACCTTGTAGCGCGGGTTTTTTAAGTTCCTCGCTTTAGGAAGGTTGTCGTGGTGTTAAGGAAGGCTGGAAAAGTGGAAGAGTGACTGTGAAGGGTACATGTGAGGAAAATGTTTGTACGGTAGGCTAATTTTGCCTTTAAGCGTGTGCTCTTTCCTTGCTTTAAGAGGGAAAGTTGTTGTCGTGATATTAGGGAAGGTATAGGGCCGGGAAGGTAGAAGAGCGACTGCGGAGAGTGTGTGTTAAGAAGATATTCGCACGGTGGGCTAAGTTTTTTCCTGCCTTGAGAGTAAAGAGTGTATGCGATGAAAATATTCGAATGGTGAGCCAAATTTGCCTTGCAACGCGGGTTCTTTCCTCACTTTGGGAGTGAAACAAGAAGCGCGACTGAAAATATTTACATGTGCAAGGAACGTATTCACGGGGGTGGGCTAAGCTTCCAGCAGAGGCTCCTCCTTGCTTTGGATAAAAGGAATGTATTCACTCCTCAGAAGGGATGGAAGTTGCTGTCGTGTTGTTAAGGGAGGTATAAGGCCGGAAGTCCCACCCTTCAAACTGGATATCATGTAACATTGCTCGTCAAAGTCCTCTAAATGCAATTCTCAGCCTATCTCGTGTTTGCCACTACCTTGCTAGAATCTTTCACTCCTAAGCCTTTGTTTGAATATCCAAGCGGGTCGAGAAAGGTACGACCCAGAAGCTCTATGATCATTTATTTCCATCTCAAACAACTCGTCCTGAATTATAGATTATCGGTTTCCTAGCCAACAAAGTGACCGCCGATGTCTCAATCGACACCATTTTAGGTCAAGTCTTTGATGAAAATACTTGCCAGTGAGCTACAGGATGCATGCTCACTCATGACGCGTCAACAGCTCTATACGGGGAATGACGGGCAACCTGAAAATGTTAGATTATTGCTGACTAATGCATGAGCTGCCCGCCCTTCTTGCGGTAAAGTTTCAGACCCCGCTTCCAACAAAAATCCCACGGTTGTATAGTGTAGCGGTCATCACATCGGATTCTGATTCTCGACTGAGAAAAGGGACTTCCGGGAACCCCGGTTCGATTCCGGGTACGACCTCAGCCAGTTTCTTTTCTTTTCTTTTTTTTTTGGCCTTGTTGACGTAATTGCCTTGCACCCTGGATGCTGCTTTTTTATCGTCACGATGGTAGTGCTTGTTTTGGTGCTGCTGCGAGGCTAAAAGGATTGATTTGCTTGGGCTGCAATGTGCAACGAAGAGGGGGTGACGAATAGTTGGTATGGCCCGTTCCTGGTGGCCCTTCCTCTCTCCATAAAATCTCAGTCAATGTTCATTCATCTATTTTCCTTTTGGGGGATGTCTTTTTGCATCTGAACGCTGATATTTGTCGCACACAAATACATGGATAAAAAACCCAGCAGCCAACACCAAACGCCGCCAGTAACGCCATCCCTACCTATATCACCTGGCCGTGGGGAGACCCTTATGAGAAATGGATACCCTCCTCGTGGAAAGCTACCTCAGAGTCAGTAAATCGTATGAAACAGGAGTCAAGGGGCAACGCGCCAAGAAGGAGTCTCAAAAAGTCATTCTGATCACACTGCCTGGACCGCTTGTCGGCCAAATCAGTGCGCTCCAAAACCTTGTTGATCTTCGCGCGGACAACAAGCGCAACCTTGGACTTGGGATTCCTGCTCGGCGTTTTTTCGTCCTTGGGGGTGCCGTTGGCCTCCTTGAAGAAAGTCGGCATGTCCTCGTCCTCATCCTCTTCCTCGACGTCGTTGTCCTGGACATCGTCGTCTCCGTCAATGTCCATGTCGGCGTCAACGTCCATAATCTCATCAGCGCCCGCGCCTTCTGTGATGCTCTCGTCGATGGGGATGTTGTTGAGGGAGCAGTAGACTTTGTAGTTCTGTTTGAAGTCAGCTTTCCGTTTGGAAGAGGAAAAAATAAGATGGTGCTGACCCTTTCGCACAAGCACAAGATTTCCTTTGGCGCAAAAGACGCCCGAAGTGTCTTATTTTTGCGGTTGCTGGCAGAGGTTAGATAGCCGTCCAAGGGCAAGTCTTCAGCCAACTCACAAGGCAATACGCAAGAGGCCGTCGAACTCCTCGAATGCGATGTTTGGCCGAGCCGAGCCGATCTTGGTTTGTTAGCATTTACATGTAACCCAAGAAGAGGGTGGCTCATACATGTGGCTCGATTCTCACGACTTTGGAATGTAAGTAAGCGCTCATCCGCAAGATGCAAGGCAGCGGGAGGACATACCATCACTCTCTACCTTTGGAGGAGGCTTGAAGTTTTGTTTGCCGACTTTCTGAGTGTGTTGTTAGTCGCTGCCCGACAGCCCCTGAAAATGGGGTTGCATACCATGATATGTTTGCAGGTGGCCCAAAAATTGACGTTCACGCTCAATCTTGAGTAGAGCGCATCACCTGCGGCATGTGAGAATATGCTACGAAGGCCGAACCTCAATGCGACGTACCAGGCTTAGCTACCAGGCGTTTGGCAAACTCTCGTTGGAACTGGGCGAAGAAAACGGGTTAGCTGGCATCTTCCAAGGGTTTTCATAATGGGCTCACCATGAGCACCGCCACACGAGGCGGGTTTGGCATGGCAAGCATCTTGAAGATCAGGGGGCTACTGATCTGGTATGGCGTGTTGGAGATCAGGGCGTCGCAGGGCGGTAACTCGGGCATCTTAATGACATCTCCTAATATGACCTCGAGCTTCTTGGCCAGGGGTGTGCCCTGCACTCGTTTTGTGACTTCAGCACCCATTCTAGGGTCAAGCTCGACTATCGGGGGCAGGTCATTAGCCTTCCTGGACGAAGCGCAGCTTTGTGCCGTGGTTCGAGGGCCATACCGGCGATCAGCTTCTTGCACTTCTCAAGCGCCCGAACGGTGACTGTTTGACAGTAGTGTTAGTACATGTCCTCACAAGCCGAGTCTAGCATAGGCAGAGATTGGGTCGTACTGTTGCCGGTTCCGGGGCCGACTTCCAAGACGACATCGGTAGGCTTGAGGTAGGCCTTCTCGACGATCGCATCGCTGGCCCATTGATCCCTCGGTTAGCCACCGTACCGGTACAGGGGGCGCCTCTCTGTTCAAGCTGACCTGATTCCGGGGTTCTTTAGAATATGCTGTCCAAAATCTTTGTCGAACTTGAAGATGTTGGAGTTGTTGGCTGCGGGTTTCGCCGTCTGCTTGCGGTCGTACGGACCGGAGCTGCTTGCGCCGCCCCGCCTCGGGGTCTTAATCTTGCCCATTGCCTTGGGGTTCTCTCGTTGACTGATTCGTCTCTATAGGGGTCGGCTCGGGTGAGGTGGTTCGCGAGTCCGGGGCGGATTGTGTCGAGTTCGGGTTTCCTGCACTCTGCACTGGTTCCTCGCCCCACAGCTCTCCATTGTCAACGCCAATATTTTTTTGCTCACACAGGGCAGAAAATAAGATACCCCGCCAAAACCGTGATAAGATAAGCCACATCTGACACCGCTTTACTCCAAGCCCAGCCTCTATCTGTCTCTTTGGTATAACATGCAATACACAGCTGACACTATTGGTTGTGTACATGCGTTACGATTTTGCCATAGCCTCGCAAATTTCCTGGTCAATACTCAAGTCTGGACTAGGTTTACAACTGGGACATCATCGTCCCTACAGAGTCTAGACCGCGTCTTGCTCAGATTGGCGTCAGGAATGTCACAGGACATTTCGCGTGACTGAACACCTTGCTGGCTGGTCTGTGCGCAAGCCACACCCTGTTCCCTGTTCGGTTGTTCTTCAGTCTGACAGCTCGCTCCCACGGAATCTTCAGTTTGACACATATTTTATTTGTAAGGTTGCTAAGCCCGGGCGGTCAGCCAGGACAGCAGCCAGAGCAGAGAAACCGCAGAAACCGCAGAAAAGGGGGTGTGTGGCGCTGTCGGGAGGGAGGGCTCCGTGCAGGCCGTTGCGATGCGGGAATGGGAGGTGGTTTCATTGTTGCCCACTGACGTAACGAGCCACGCCTGCTTCTGCGGCGAAGCTCGGCTGAGGGGCACTTGGGCCTGGGGACCCTGGACCCTGGAACACGACTTCCCGTGTAATTGACCGATTGACGATGGTTGAGCAGCTCACTGATCATTTTATCGTTGTATTTAAGCTTCACCTTCAGCTGCCAGAAGCTGTCATGTGTCTGCCTCGATGAGGCTGCTCTCTCATCATCCTCGCCCTGCAGCATTGGTGCCGGAAACGGCGCAAATCAGACCATCGCCGCTGACACAGGCCAGAGGCAGCTCGACGGCCTTGACAACTTCCCGCCTCGAAGCCGTGATTCTCATTTAAGGATTCTTTATTCTCTCTCGGTTCGGCCGAGTCGCGTGCACCATGTCCATCCGGATAGCGCTGGAAAGCCAGCCCGAATTCTACACCAACCTCGACATCATCCGCGGCCAGATCATCATCTCACTGAGCCGTCCCGAGCATGTCGGCGCTATCATCGTCAAGCTCGAAGGCGAATCCAGGACCGCCCTGGGCATGCCCCCCGACGGCTCCTCGGTTGGCATCGCCCAGCGCGAACTAGGCCCTAGCGGCGATATTCTCAACGAGAACCACAAGATCCTCTACAACGTCGCCCAGGTCTTCCCCGATGAGAACAAGCCCATGATGCCCGCCCCCACCATCTTGGCACCCGGCCAACACCGCTTCCCCTTTTCCTTTAAATTCCCCTTTAACAACGCCTGCGCCGACCCTTCTGCCATGGCTCGCATTGGTGGCATCGCTGGTCCGGGTGGTTTGGCTTCGGGTTCGGGACTTTTTGGGCTGGGCGGGATCCGTGTCATGGACGGGACCAAGCAGCTGATGTACGCTCACGTCAAGAAGACGCTACCCCCAAGTTTCACCGGCTTTCCAGGAGAGGCCGAGATTCGGTACTACGTCAAGGTCACCATACAGCGCCCGGGCTTGTTCCGCGAGAACTGGAGATATCAGATCGGCCTCAAGTTCTTGCCTATCGAGCCACCCAGGCCGCCGAAGTCAAACCAGGAAGCCTATGCCAGGAGGCCTTTCACCTTTCGCCCGCGGAGTCAACCCCCAAGCCCGGCACCTGAGCTCCAAAAGCGACCATCCATATTTTCCAGCTGGGGTGCAAGCAGCCCTCGCACATCAAGTCACGGTCCATCTCTAGCCCCAGCAAGTCTATCCAGGGATTCCCAGCAGTCATTATCTTCCCTCGTGGAAGGCGCTCCCTCGATCGAGATGTCTGCCAGGGTTCCCCACCCAGCCATTCTTACCTGCAACAAGCCGATACCACTGCGGCTGATCGCCAAGAAGCTTGCACCAGTCGACGCCGAAGTCTTTCTCATTGCCATGCAGATCGATCTCATCGGCCGAACCATAGTACGGTGCCAGGACCTGATCCACACCGAAACCACACGCTGGGTTATCCTATCGCGCCAAGGCTTGTCGATTCCTGTATCTCGTCCCGGCGACGCCGTCGGGGCTGAAATTGTCGTGCCTGACACCATGTGGCATGACATGCCCCTCCCCAACACCGTCATGCCGAGCTTCGTGACCTGCAATCTCAGGTACGCCCCTCCGAAACCACCCATCAAGACCCCTCCCGGTTACTGACCTACTAACCAGCCGAGATTACCAATTCGAAGTCAAACTCGGCCTCGCATGGGGCAAGCCCCCGCCGTCCAACAGCTCCCTGTTCACAGGTAAGGGCAAGAACCGCCTCGACCTGTCCGAGATCCCCCAGGAAATCCACCTGCCCCTCCACTTCAGCGCAGTAGAAGTCTACTCGGGCCTAACCCCCTCCCCCGAGCTCGTCGAGGCCGCCCGCCAAGGCCGCGGGCGGCGACAGCCCGTCAAACCGCAACAACAACAACAACGGCCTTCACAATGGCAGATATCACAGCAGCAACAGCAGCAGCAGCAGCAGCAGCAGCAGCAGCGACCCCAGCCCGCCCCAGCCCCGGCCCTCCCACCGCGCCAGAGCCAGACCGCGGTACCACAACAGCAGCCGCCCGACGCGCTGTACCCCCCGCAGCTGCTGCCCGGACAGGAAGCGCCGCTGTACGACGACGCGCCGCCGAGCTACGACGAGGCCATGGCTG